AATTTATTATTATTCAGAATATTTTTATTAATTTTTTGGTATATTTTACGAATTTTTATTATTTTTTATTATTTTATTATGAATTAAAACATTCCAATAGGTATAAGGGTATATTTGTCCAAGACAAACATAATTAGTCCTATGGAAACATAGTTTATTTTTTGGTCCTATTTGTGCAAAGTGAATGACTTTTAGTCCTATTTTGATAATTAACTCATGATAATATGACTCCATCGGTTTTTTTGCTATTATCATGCCTAAAAGTAATCAATTAATCCTAAAAATATGGAAGTGATCCTCACGATGAGTGAGGCCGTTATGCAAAGGAAATGTAATTCTAGTCAATGGTGAAGAAACATGTTTAGTCATATATATTATGAGAATTCAAATGAGTTTTAGTAATAAATAGGTAAATTTCCCTAGCTTAAATTTAAACAGATAAGACTAAACCTCAAAGTATTAGACTTGGACAAAAGTTATCCCAAACCATACCAGATCCTGAAAATATCAATCAAAGTAAAACATTCTAAAGCTTGAACTATAACCATTTTCATATTTAAAAAATAACAGTTTTAATCTTTAGCAAAATAGTACAAAATCGTACTCCGTATTATTTTAAAGAAAGGACAATTATTTCTAAAATATCTGTAACCCGATCATTTATGTGAAAATCATATGAAAAGATGGATCTATCATGTGAGGTAACTCTAGAATAATAATATGATGAGTACCAAAGTTGCACCGTTTGTGAAATTATCATCAAAATTGCATTGGATTCAAATTTCTATCTAAAAGAACAAATGTCATATGACTCAATTGTAACTTGATTACTTTTACCATTTGTCCACTCACAGGCATACACTTTGCTTAGTCCTTTATTTACTTTCACCTGTGTTGGGTCTACACTTGGAAATTAGAACTGTGTTGTGATATTGTTTATACGAAGCAATAATATTATCATTCAGTGGGGAAAATTGCATACTTAGCTGCGTAACTTCTCGGAATTATGCGAAATGGTCCGAATGTCCGATACATTGCACCATTCACGGTTTAAATCTCGTAATTTATTACTTTTGGTGGGCAATTTGAAGACTTTAGGCCTGTGTTTTCAAATGATGGCAGGATTTGATGTCCTCCAACTCACGGATCCGTCCATTGTACAACCGGCTGTACGGTACTCACCGTACAGCCGGTGGCATTTTTGTAATATAATGTAAAAATCATGGTTTCTGCTAAGTGATCATTCGTGTACTGTTAATGAGCAAGAATCCAATGTTAATGAGTATTAGGAGTCTAATAATGAACGTCGTGTTATTAAAAGAAAGCTGATATCACAACTTAAAAAAACGGTGACATTTTTGTAATTTACATGAAATTCGCGTCTTGTACTAAATGAGCATTAAAACACGTCTAGTGAGCATGTGACATATTTTGTTGAGCATTACACACATAACAATGAGCATCGTGATCTCTGTTTCACCTCTTCTAATTTACTTTCTTTTCCTTATTTTTTTCTAAACTTTTGAAATATGCATTGTTATGCCATTTTACAAATGAGCATAACATGAATAGCCGTTGAGCATACATAACTTATAAAGTGAGAATTGGTATTTAACATGTGCAACCTTTTAAAATGAGCATAAAACAGTAATAAATGAGCATACATAACTTACAAAATGACTATTAAAATATCAAAAAACTCGTTTGTGTGTGCTCATTCATTTTGGGCGTTATAATCATTTGAGTTTAACATAAAACTCATTTTGAAATATGCATGAATATGACATTTTAAAATGAGTATTGCTCTAATATCAAATGAGTATCCATTAATTACGCAATGAGCATTCAAAAAACTCATTTGAAATGTCTACTATGCTCATAGTTTCATTTGTTATGCTCATCATAAATGAGCGAACTCCCTCACCAAACTTGGGTAAGAAAAAGAGAAAAAGGAAGAGTCCAGAGCAAGAAAGAGGAGAAGAAGCAATTAGGGCTAAGGAGCCGCCACAGAAGTCGCAGCTCAAGCCAGAGTTTGAGGTGTTGAGCTCGTGCTAGAAGGTCGTGTCTGTCGAGAATTGTCATCTGTGTAGGCGGCGAGCGAAGGACGAGTAACAATCTGCGAACTGTGATGGAAGCCCTGCGAATTGCGATGGAAGCCTGCGATCTGCGATGGAAGCCCTGCGAACTGCGATGGAAACCTGCGATCTGCGATGGAAGCCTGCGATTTGCGATGGAAACCCTACGATTTGGGAAATAAAATGCCGGCTGTACCGTGCGCACGGTACAGCCGGCTGTACCATGTAATTTACGTCCAACTCACTTCTGCGCAATTTAGTCCTTATTACGGTAAGAAATCCGAATTAAATTTAAAGTGTAGTTCCGGAGTTGATCAAATAGTGCTAAAGGGTCAAATAGGTACATGAACTAATTTAAAGTGTTCAATTTGCCCTTTATATAGGAGGTTCTGCTCGACCGTCGCATATTGGGGCGGTTCCCGGTGGAATTTTTTGATGAAATTTTTTTAGCATGTTCTTCATTAAGTTTAGTTTACCCATACCAAATTTCAGTTAAAAATTAAATCGGGAAGGCAGTCAAATGATTTTCCGAAATGTACTGCGATGTTTAACTGCACAGTTATCTTCAAAAAAACATTTGACTGCCTTCCCGGTTGAATTTTGAGCTGAAATTTAGTATGAGTAAACTAGACTTAATGAAGAACATGCTCAAAATATTTCATCAAAAAATTCTACCAGAAACCGCTCCAATTGGCGACGGCCGGGCAGAACCTCCTATATAAGGGGCTAATTGAACACTTTAAGTTAGTTCATGTACCTATTTGACCCTTTAGCCTAAATTTTATTTACTGAGAACATGAATTTGAACTCCGGACCTAGACATATGTTTTAAAAGTTGGACAAGTGACGTGTTGTTCTAAGAGATCATCCCGATCAATGCCAGATCAACCCGACAATTTTCATAAGAATTTCTGACACACTATATCACGTAAAAGTTGATAAGTTTAACTTCTACGTGAAATAATAAAATAACAATTATATGGTTGAAATTGACATAGAATAGAGAACATATATTTTTTTACTTTGAAATGAAAAGACAAATCTTTTTAATACGGATATATGGTAAAACTCGGGATTGTTGATATAATGAAGCAAAGAGGGATCTATTTGGCTATTTGTACTTCAAAATTACCTAAACCAATGATAATCCTATTTATGATGCATTTTATCATTATTTTAGTCCTATTAAGGGAATTTTCGAACTTATTTTACATTTCATTTGCAAAAAAATAACTTATTTTATATTTTTTTTATGTATTTACCTATGTTCATATGCAGAAAGGAAATTTTGGCACCGTACCTCTTGCATCTATATCCCATTTAGATATTCCCTCCGTCCCCGAAACAAGTTCTCATTACTGTTTACGAGGTTTGATTGACGAAAAAGCAACTCAATTCTTGTTCACATTCAGATTATTTTTAGTAAATAAAATTTACATATTCAGAAATTTCATTAAAACCGCTACAAAGTCTGATCAAGAAAATTTAATTTTGATAAAGTTTTGATATATAAAGTAAATGATTAAGAGAGAATTAAGTTTACCACTGGAATAGTGAATGGGAACTTCTTTCGGGGACGGAGAAGTCGGAGAGAGTACATTGTTTATCAGACAACCTAATACAATTTCTTTATTTATCTTGACCTCTGCAAAATTTACCATAACTTTTATTTTTAGGGAAAATGGAAACTAATAATTCAATCTTTTAACGCTTTTCTTACAATAGTCCCACCTTTTCGTCATTCATGAATAATCCAACTTTTGTACCTCATCTTCATTCACTGGTCTCTGATCGGTTCATGACCTGCTTTTTCAAGTTATTTTCCTATCTTTGCAAACCATTATACCATAAATTTCACCTTTTACAAAGATAATATTTTGCAAAGATAAGAAAATAACATGAAATAGCAGGTAATTAACCGGTCAAGGACCAGTGAATGAAGATGAGGTGCAAAGGTTGGATTATCTTGAATAACAAAAAAGTGGGACTATTGTAAGAAGAATGCTAAAAGGTTGGATTATTAGTTTCCATTTTCCCTTATTTTTATGTTTCTAAAGCAAACTCAACATCTAACTTTGATAACGTTTCTCAATTGCAAACAATTTAGGGGTAATTTGAGTTTGCACCCTATATTATTGTCTAAATTGGACTTTGCACCATGTTTTTAAAAACTCTTTGGTTTTGCGCCGCAACCCATATGAAAAGACAAAATTGTCCCTCCATTTAAAATTATGTTGAACTTCAACATATTCCTGATTGAGGGCATTTTTGTCTTTTCATATGGAGTTGAGGTGCAAAAACAAGGATTTAAAAAAACGGGGTGCAAAGTCCAATTTAGACAATAATATAGAGGGTGCAAACTCAAATTACCCCAACAATTTATTCAATTCAGTGGTTAAAACTTAAAAGGGTCGAACAAGTCCAACATGGGCTCAGGGTTCAGTACTTTACTTCAGTGTGATCCTGGATCAATTTTCTAAATATCAATGCAACTTAAAACATGAAAGCATGACTCAGAAAGTCTTGCCAGAAATTGTCGTTCTTATGAAAAAATAATAAGGCACTCGAAGAAGTTCATCATCATAAGTTTTTACCACTGCCGTTAGAATTGAGAACATACTGAAGACTGACTATCGTTACAAAACTGACTATAGAAATTGCTGCTGGTCTCATTACAAAACTGATATCGTTAAATTGACCAGAGCACTAAAGTTGGGACAAAGAGACTCAAAAATAACTTTACATTCAACCTTGGCAGAAAAGTATTGTGCAAAAAGCTGATCGTTTTCCGCATCCCCCGCCCCCAAGTAACTATGTGCAACAGCGCGAAGGAATTTGACACTCATGTGCCAATCAGAAGGGGTGAAAGAAGAGAAAAATCATAGATGTATAAGAAATACTACAAATAACAACAATATCATGATCATATATTCAATGGAGGATCTAGAAACACCCAAAGCATCTTTTTATAGAAAAAGAACTTTTCCGAGGAGGCACCTGCTGCTGATCACTATAAGACTTTTTGCGTGGAAGGTGCTTTAAGAAGGCATTTACGGCTCCTGTCACGCCATCTTCATCCTTCATCGCCTTTGCAAGCTCAATCGCTTTCTGCTTCACCTGCTTGAGGAAATATAAAAGGAAAAATCTAGATGTATAATCCCGACTATAGACATTCTTCTAATATTAACCTCAAATATTGATAATTTCAGTATATATATAGTCTAATTTATAAGGGGTATTTTCTCAAAACAATTTGATGACCTCCATCATCCTCCAACCAAACAAGGTCCTTAATGTTGAATAAGACATTTGCATTCTCAGGAGATCAAAATAATGAGAATTTTGAACACAAAATTTCAAGTAACATCAGAAAGCTGTGCAGGAAGGAGAAAACAAAACAATACCTTTGGGTCTAGCATGAAGCTGATTGCACTAATCAGTTTGTTTAGTGAAAATTCTTCAACTGGTATTGGTTGTGGACCTACTCCTCTAGCATGCACTCTATCCCCCCAGAATTGCTGGTCGCCAAAGAAAGGGACGATAGTTGTAGGGCACTGCAGTACAAATAATATGAAGTTTTAAATGAAGTTCTAAATTTGCAGTGCTTATTGATTGAAGAAAATCACTTAACACTATGTAGTCATGCATAAAATAGTGGCAATGTAGCACAAAATTAATAAAAAAAACTACTCCACCCAAATCCCACCACAAAGATGAATGGGTTAGATAAGGATTAAAAAAGCATAGAAGATTTTATAGCTCCTCACTTTCATACCCCTCCCCTAACTCCCACAACCAAACACACACAATTCCTTCACTTTCCTCCCCTCTCATAAAGTTTTAGGGAATACCGCAGCTCGAAGACCAGCAGCTGTTGTTCCAGCACCCCCATGATGCACCTGAAAAGGTGAAAAAGTCTGTAATTGGTTCCAATGTCTAATTTGACAAACTCACACCTTCCAAATGTAATTTTAAAGTTCAAGGGCCTTGCTCCGCACCATGCAGGGACTGTGGAAAATTAATACTGAGTGTAATGCTCAGGGGGGAGGACAAGACATGAAACATTTGAAGGTTACAAGATAATGGCTAATTTGTAATGAACATGCAATATGTAATTTGTCACATGATATGAAGTAAAGCAGCAATATGAAGGACTAATATAGTCAGCATGAACTTTTATATATAGAGATTCACTTTGACCCAAAAACTAATGGCTACTACGGGAAAGCAGTAAATCCACACAAGTCAATTACTATTTAAGATAATCCGTGCTCCCAGAGTTGAAAACTCGCATCATTTTGATTGTGTGGAGTGAATATGTAATTGTAAATTACGTCATGTTAATTTCAATTCCAAATAACGAAAGCAGATCAATATATTTAAATCAGCAGCTTACGTAAAATCTTGACCAATTATGTGATAAAATCAGCATGCAAAATAAAACATGAAGGCTACTGAAATCAACATGTTTTGAGACCTTTTAAAGGTGCACAATGCGACAATGTATGGCTTCCGAGGAAATACAATGCATTGAGTGGTCAATAATACCAATAATAACAAGGGAAATTCCACAATATGACTAAAAAGGAACATTATTGTTTCCCCCGAAAACAGCTGTTATTCACTCCTAAAAAAGAGTTTATAATCAGTTTTATTCTTGTTTTGGATTGAACGGGTCCTATTTTTAGCACAATATATTAATTATTTCGTTTTTAAATTAATAATCAAATATTTCAAATATATAAAAGCAATTGTGCAGAACTGTCATGCCACTACATGAAAAGCAATGCTGTAAACCCCAGACATTTAAGTTGACAGTTCTAACTTCCAAGGCAAATTTAAAGGCCGTCAAGACCGTATCTCCTCTGGAACATGAAACTCATGCTAACTGCTGTATGGTCATTTGAGCTTCTTGAAAGAAGACAATTTCTCAAGCCTCAAATTTTTAAGTTATGAGCTATTCACGATGAGGCTTGTTCCTCTTGGCAAGCCTATATCTTTGCCCCACCTTATACTCTTGGAGTATAAGTAAAAAGAAGATGAGTCTGACAAATAAGTTCTTTCTTCAGACACATTCCCACTATATTACTTGCGCATTTTCGTTTATGCTCCCTATGTCCCCATTATGTCTTTCACTCTTCATTCCTTTTTTTCTTCTGTCCCTAATTATCTCATTTTGCCTTTTCTGCAAAAGATTGTGCGGTTAATATTGTTTCTTTCTCTTCTGAATACATTTCAACTAAATAGTCTTTACTCTTTATTAAAAACCGTGCAAATTTAAAGGGCAGATAAAATAGGGATAAAGGGAGTGTTCTATATTTCAAATTTCATTTCCTCCAAACCAATATAATCTCTTATTGAGACTTTCAATGCTCTGTGAGAAGCAGGCTATCAAAGAGATAAAACAAAACCACTCACTGTTTATCTTCTATTCATTTTTATTTCTTAAATTTATATGCCTCATTTTAGCAGTTAACGTGGTGCAGGAAAATGAGAAGAGATAAAGAACAGGAGGTTAAGCAGAGAAGAATTGCAATATTCAACTCCTTGCCAATGATATTGAAAGGGAAATGAAGCTTAAGAATACAGGCTCACCACAGCTGAACATCGTTCGAAAAGCCAATCATGGGGACAGTTATCCAGAAAATACACAAAATCCTTTGGTTTAGCCACTGCAACAAAACCTACCTCAGTGAGTTACACATCCTGACACGAGTTTCACATAATGCACATAATCTAGTAGAGCAAGTCATTAAGGGAACACAAACTTACAGTTACCAAGGCCACCCCAGCCTTTATTAATAATCCCCCTCTGGCCAGTTCTTTGTAATGCTTCCACAATTGTTTTAGTCATCTTCTCTGGCTCTTGAACGGGCTGAGATTTTGTAAGTATAAATTCAATACAAGTATGAAAGCAGCTTTCGATTTTTTTTAGAGGAAGTGGGGATTCAAGAAAGCTCACAAGGCTACCGAATCCTATGTAGATTGGCTTTTGACCCCCCTTAAGCCAGCTCACAAGAGATTCGGGAGGTTCATAATTTGATGCAAGATCAAGGAAGCAAAACCCTACCACATCAATCTTTGGTCCCCAATCTGCAATGAGGATTAGCACATTATTGATATTTCCAATAATGAGAAATGGATGTGTTGGTACACCATTTCAAAATGCAAACACAACAACAAAATGAAAAAGGTACTACCTTTTGGTTTGGGAACAAGGTGAGGACTCCAAATATATCCATGTGGAATATCAGATTCAAAGCCATGTGAACCGCTTAAATATGTGACCGGTCGAAGCTTCAGCTTTTTCTTCCTTAAATCATTTATCAGATCCCTAATTCCTAGCCAAATCAAGGAGTCAACAATCTGATACGACAGCTGCAAAATACATAAAGATTAAAACTAATGGAGCATTGATTCGAAGATAATCACTACTTTGTACAGATGGAGAAGGGAAAACATGTCTTTAGGATGGAGAAGGAAAAATGTATACAAGATGCAGGAAGAAACACGTTAAACTAATCAACACACCCGATATCCTGAAGGTTGCTTTACACGAGACAAAGGATGAGGAAATTCACTAGTTGGCCTGCCAGGGAACATAAATATGAGATAAAGCTTTATATAACAGAACTCACAGAAGGAAACGATTTGATAAATAGGAAACTTGGATAATGCTACAAAGAAAATGAAAAGCAAAAGGTCTTTCTAGACTACCATTAGCTATAAAGACTTACGTCCATGGCATTGTAAAAAATATATGAATCGGAATCTTCAGAGCCTCTGCAACATGTTTATGCCCTGAAAGTTTACCCTCCCATGTTAAAATATAATAATGCAGGGCATATAATTTGCATAAAAATCTGAAAATCAGCTCAGTTGACACCCAACAGGAAATGCAGGGCAGTCATAACCTTGGCAAACATGCAAGACTTCTCTTACCATAAAAAATTCACCCTTGAGATCAAATTTGCTTTAACCTAAACTTCACTGATTCTCAAGGCCAATTTGAAACTTTAGGAAATAGGATAGGATAAGGTATGTGTGTAAAACTATATCGACAGCAACTAAACCCACTACGGAAATTACCAAATCTGAATGGGCGTCAATCTATGATGAATTAATTGTCATTTCAAACGGTAACCGATGCCGAAATATATGTGTTGTAATAACGATTTGTATATGGGATTGTTAAAGAACGTTTACTATAAAATTCAGTATAAATTCAAATATTAGGACATACAGTCGGTGCAAGATAAAGTTTAAATGTGGATAATTTATCATATCAAACTGAACCTGTTCCCTTCTTTACCAGTTATTCTATAGTATCCTAATTGATCATTCAATCGAGATTGATATGCACATGATAAGCACATAATATGCACATCAATTCGCTGTCAGTGCGAAATTGGCATAAGTAATTATCAAGTCACAGTCATGCACAACATTGAATTTAAGTATAGAAACCATGAGTACAGAGATGCACGTCTGAGTTAATAGCCTTACCATATGCTGGAGGATTAGCTATAATTGCATCTGCCTTAAAAGCAATCCCTGTACTCATATCAGGGTCTTTGCAAGCGGGTAGCAAAGAGTATATGATGTCTTTCATTTGATTTCGCTGAATGGGTATTTCTGAAGGTCCAGAAGGCAGAAACCCTTTGTTTTTAACCATGTCTGAAAAAAAATAACAACATTAAAGTTTCTGGACCTTAGGCATAGCCCCAATAACTTTTCAATGGTTTAGCAAGGAACATTGAATATATACATCCAGCAAGAATTTTTGGATCACCACCAAGAGGATAGAATTCCAACCCAGCAGTAAGGACAAATTCTTTAAAATTTGCATGAGTTGCAAGTCTTACACGATGACCATATTCCTACAATTAAAAAACTCATTACGTGAGTACAATACACACCAAAGAAATACGTGTAAGTTATATCACTCCTGCAAAACAGACGAAAACACATGCATGGAAAGATTGTACCTGCAGACGTTTTCCAATTGCTACAAAAGGTTGCACATCACCTCGTGTTCCAACAATAAGCATCACAATCTGCATTGGTGGAATACACTGAAGTTCTGTTGCATCAAGAGCTTCGTTCTCAAAATCAGTAATAATGTTTTCAGGTCCATCTGCAATCACTCTGACATCTCCAGGAATTTCGAATTCTACAGTTCCATCATCTTTGACTGTAGCTATTCTGTTCAATAATTGGAGCTGCAGTGTTTCAAGTCTTAACAATGTATCCAAGACATATTAGGTTTTAATAGATATTTCCATATCTAGTCAGCATACATGATACATGTAATGAAATGCTATTCCCATAAGGAAGTAATTATGTTTAGAGCATACAGCATTGGCAAAATCCGAGGCACTCGGACATCATTACAATTTACAAGAAATTAATCATGATTAAGGTGAGTAATAAAGGACAAACAAAGTCATCGGCTCACACTTAAGTGCTGTATAAAAATCAAAAGGATGCTTTCTTCCCTATTATTTCTATCTGAATACCAATATTCCCTGCAAATGGAAACAGTATTGCATTGAACAGCTTTTTAGTCTTGTATATTTACACGTCGCACAAGTTTTAAATATTATTATGAATTGCACCTAGAACTCAAAGAATGCCTTTTTGGGCGGTGGCCAGTTCCAATCGCTACTCAGGCATTACGCACAGAAGGCCATACAAAAAAAATGGCAATGTTCATCAACTGTGTACTGCACGCAGCCTTCCCAAAAACAGAATATTTAGTGAGTGTATGAGTGTATCTTCTCCATTAACTTTGAGGGAGACAGCAAAAGGTAATAAGATAAGGACAAAGACCTAAGTATTTATTGCCAACTTTGCTCTTAGTTTTCCTTTTTGCGTGAAACATATATTTCTAAATTATTGCTTTATCATCTACTTTACTTAATAGCTACTTCTCCTAGAGTCCAAGTTCAATAATGATTGTAAAACACTTTTGCAAAAGTGGAGTTCAATCTCATTAATAGGGAGGAAATAATTATGAAGTAACCAAAGGAAAAAGGGACTCCCTAAAATTGTAATATGCTATCCTCTGTGTTGCCTATCTGACTTTCCCCCTTTTCTTTTTCTTCTTTAATAAGGCTGCTAAAATTAATAGGGAAGCAAGCAACCACTCATCATCCGTTAAATAGATCTTATACACGGAAACATGACAAACACAAGATATAGAACAAATAAACAAAAAAAATCAGACGATTCTCCTCGTTCAATCAAATTGGTCATAACCACTACCTACACTCCATAAAATTTATATAAATAAATTCATCCTTTGCTTAGAATGACAAGACTAGTCATTGAAGAAAAAAATTGCTCGGATGGAGAAGACAATAACTAATTTTTGTCAAGATAACCAGAAGTTCATATTCTCTTTCTCTTTTTCTTTTTTCTTTTTATCTTCTTTATCTTTCTTACTCCGTATGCTCTTATGTTATTTTTATCTTTTATCTTTATGTTCTTTTATCTTATCTTTAGCTTTATCTTTATCTTTTTATCTTACCTTATCTTATTTATTTTTCTTACTTTTCTCTTCTTTTTGGCTCCAATATCATGGATTGATTCATGTTAGCCGAGCCCAAAAACTTTTGGGAATAATGTTTGGATATTGTTGTATAACCAGAAGTTCATACACCTAAGAAACTGGAAAATTAGTAGCAAAGCAACAGGGGGTACCTAGCTAGGTTGGCATTCTATTCATGTGATACCACACAAAGCTTCAAATACTACTACAAGTATATTCAAATGCTCATTTGGACAGTTTCATTCATGATATGAACAAAGCAGTCTTACCACTTGAACATCTTTGTATTACAATTTGAGCATCATTGACACCGCGCACGTAATGACTACATAATGATTGATGACTACAAACTATTCGATACTCCCAACCATGAAAATAAAGATAACAAGATAATATTAAGCCCAAATAAAACTGTACCTTTTGTTTGGCAGGAACTTTGTTGTCAAAAATTTTTGCTGCTTCTTTTGCACCTATATCATGATGTCTCTGCCTCTCAGTTTTAGACCTTCCCAACTTAGGAGTTCCAGAAGGTGACATGGGTTTATTAGGGCTTGAAATCTCAGGATACTTTGTGCCACTGGAAGATGGACCATCAGCTGGTTCTATGCTGTCCACTTCTTCACTGTCGCTGCTAATACGAAAGTTATGGCCGCCATTTCCTCTGGTACCGGCGTTCTTCCAAGTCACGGAGACTTCAGAAGAGCTCGAGTGATCACTTTCCTGAGCCAAATCCGCCATTGGTGGCTCATCCACCACCTTTACTTGCCTTCGATCCAGATTTGCGGAGTGTTTTTCGAGAGGGAATCTAGTGAAGGAGACGCCTCTGGATTGATTGATGAATTTAGGAGGTTTTAGAGAGAGAAACACAAGAGCCACTTAACGTCGTGGGTGACGTTTCAGTTGATTGTTTAGGAAATGCTTCAAGCGGGCCTGGGACCGGTTCGGTTCTTAAATAAAATTGGAGGAACCGTTAAGAAAAATGGAACTCTTAAAACCGGTTCGGTTCTAGTAAAAAAAATATAGAACCGTTAAGGAACCGAATCAAATCCAATCGGTTCGGTTCTTGCTTTTTATCGGTTCCTAAAACTACAACAATCCTTCAATAATAAATCTTCATTCAACGTTACATCACATGAAACATCAATGTTTAAATATTAATTAAAAATTGAAAACTAAACAAAAAATCAGTATGTTCAATACATAATTAGAATTAGAATATGTTAATATGATTCTAATGGATTGACAAGGACGCTTGTAGATACCCAAAGTGACCAGAATTGATAGCCAGCTTCAAGTAATTCAATCCTGAAATCATTTAAAATTGAGTTAATTGACATTTAATAAAACAGTGGTAGTAAGATATCATTATTCAATCCTGAAAAAGTAAGAAAGGGTTCGTAAACAGGCTATTTCCTTTCAAGTTTCTCTACACATGACACATCCATTAGTTTTCAGTTTCTTTGTTTTGTTGATTGCATTCAAGGCCAATTTTTTATTCAATGCTATACATACAAATAAAGTATATATATACCTGGAACGAGAACAACACTAACAAACAAATATACAACTGATTGTTTTTCATTTTACTGAAATGGAATCAATAATCCCATACTTCACACCCCATGAAAAAAATAAAATCAGCTCATAAATATTCTATCTGCAACAAAATCAAAATCTGAAAAATCCCAAAATCGAGCGACCAGACATATACATCATAACATTAAAGCTTAATCCAAAAATACCTATTCATAAGCCAAAACATAACAATCTGAATCAACGAAAGTAAAAAAGAAAGCAATATAAAATAGATAATTTACATATGGGAAAACAAAAATTATAAAGGTCTGGTATATAAAGTATTTTTAAAGTCATTTTAATTAGAATGAATCTGTGGGAAGATTTTGATATGAGAGAGTCGTATGTTGTTTACAATCGTATTGTACTAGTTTTTGCGTTTTTATTTTTTAAATCTCAATCACTATGGGTGAGTCGGATCTGCTTGCTGATTTAAAAGAAAAATTAAGAAATTAGATAGCTTGTAATTCATATATGTTGCCTTTACCTTCTCTTCCAACTTGACACGAGGTTGCAGTGTAGCACCGGAGAAAAACCCCAAAACAAGCAGGAGCTTCACATCAGAAGAAATGTCGCTGACCTGAAGAAGAAGGCAAGATTTTGTGGTTTTTCCGTGAGCTACAAAAGTTTGAACTAAAAAATACAGATAGAGATGCTTACCTATCTATAATATCTCCTGTGAGGAAGCCATGGAAACCATTGAAAGATGAGGGGATATGAGCAAAATAGCAGAGAAGCTGAGATGCTAGGGTTCTCCTCTTAATGCTACGGATAGTGAGTGGGCTAATGGTTGAAGAGTGGAGAACTTTGACTAGTGGGCTAATGGGTTGACGGAATAAGAATAAGTGGAATAACCCACTAGTTGTCTAACTTTTAAAACTTAAGAATGAATTGTGAGTTACCGGTTCCATGTCGGTTCTAACCATTTTTTTTTATCACAAACCGGGAACCGAACCGGTATTAACTAGTAGGAACCGAACCGATAATTTTTATAACACTAGAAATAGGAACCGAACCGAACTGTACTATATCGGTTCGGTTCCGGTCATTTTTTCGGTTCCCGGTTCCAAAATCCCGGCCCTAGCTTCAAGTCTTCAACAGAGGGTTGCAGTTTGAGTTAATTATCAAAATAGGACTAAAAGTCATTCACTTTGCACAAATAGGACCAAAAAATAAACTATGTTTCCATAGGACTAATTATGTTTGTCTTGGACAAATATACCCTTATACCTATTGGAATGTTTTAATTCATAATAAAATAATAAAAAATAATAAAAATTCGTAAAATATACCAAAAAATTAATAAAAATATTATGAATAATAATAAATTAAAAAAAAATTTAAAAAATAATAATAATAATAAATTAAAAAAAAAATCAAAAAAATATTTTTTTTGTCACCGCCGCCTATACCGCCCCAGCACCACCACCTCTAGTCATTTGGGGAAAAAATGCCAAATTTATTATGAATTCCATATTTTTGGCATAATTCAGAATGATTTAAGATGGAAGAAAAAAATGTTGGCATTCTCAAAGAGAAATATGCCATATTTTTGGCATTTTCCGAAAAAAATGGAAGTTTGTAGGAAATATGACATTTTTTTTAACGGTCGGAGGTGGTGGTGCAGGGAGGCGGTACCACCACCTCCTGTCACCGGGGTAAAAAAATGCCAAAAAAATTATGAATGCCATATTTTTGGCAAAAGTCAAAAGGATTCAAGTTGGCAGAATGAAAATGTTGGCATTCTCATAGAGAAATATGCCATTTTTGTGGAATTTAAAAAAAAGTGGCATTTTTTACACCGATCGGAGGTGGTGGTTCAGGGAGGTAGTACAGGCGGTGGGAAACGTATCCATATTTTTTTTAATTTTTTTTATGGAGTTTTACTATTTTTTATTAATTTTTTTTTAAAAAAAAATTAAATTTTTTTTTCTTATTTTTTATTTTATAAAAATTTTATTAATTTTTTTATTATTTTTCTACGAATTATTGAATTTTTTCGAATTTATTATGAATTAAACATTTATTTATGACTTTTAGCTATCTTTTACTAATATTTAAAGGAGGGGTAAGAATGGAAGGAAGAAATGAGTATGTTTCCAATAGGACCACTATGGTCCTATTTTGGAAAAAAAACATAGCAAGTCCTATTTTGAGTTTTTGTCATAGTTTTAGTCCTATTTGAAGTAATTTCTATATTATCATATATTGAGAAACATATCTTCTATTAGTCACAGGAGGGGTAAAAATCTCTTTAATCTAATATTATGTTCGAGTTTAGTATGATCGTCATTGAAACTATTTCAAGTGGAAATAATCTTTGTGTCCTATTCTCGTGACTAGGCTAGTGACGCTTTCTTACATGTTTCTGCGGATTGTGGAAGCAAATTTTAGTGGTTTCTTCAGGCGATAGTTATCCAAAAAAATTTAGATGACTGAGTCATGACGAATAGGAGATGGAGAAAAAAGAATGTAAATGTGATTAGATTTGGAGTTTATATTCTTTTGAGAAAATTTCTGAAGTAAAATTTTGAATAAGTGCACAAGTAGGAGCCACATGTTCCATAGAAGGAAAGATATGGACTTGACAAATTGCCCTTAATGAAATTTTAGATATATCATTTTCATTTTCATTTACCCTTATGGTGGGGTAAGGGGGGTCGGATGTACACAGTCTTACCCCTATACTAAAGCACAGAGACACAGTTTCTGAGTTTCCGGATGATCCATAGTGAAAATCGCGTCCAAAGTTGCATGGACTGACTGTTGCTTCATAATAAAGAAGCGCATACAATACATTTTGCGAGCCATTTGCTTTATTCCATCAATATTCTCAAGCCAAAAAATAATGAATCTTTGGCTCATTGCAAAAAAAATTTAGATATATATATTTACAATAAAAGCTAAAAAAATAAATATTGTAAAAACAATACAGTAGCCTCCAAAATCATTTGCACAACTGTTGCCTCCTCTAGCACGCCGCCGCCACCCCCGCGATGAGGCCACCATCATCGCCTTTCGATGAGACTATTGTCGCCACCTTGCATCGAGCCCTCCTCCCATACTGCTGACTCTGGCAACGCCACCCCCTCCGGCGCCATCACAAATGAATACGTTGTAGGTTTCCATGAAATTGCCACAATGATAAAAGTAGTTTATATTGTTGTGTTAAAATACGTTTAGAAAATATGACATTTTAAGATGTAGGAATAGGAGTGGACCCGATCTGGTGATCTGGTCCGGCCTAACGGTCCGAATCTAGGTCTGGAATTTTCGATTCCGGCTTAGGACCGACCCTGTTTGCCCAAGAGGGAATCCCGGTCTTGGTTCACCAATTTGGGCACCAAATCGAGCGGTTCCAATTCCAAATCAGCGTTTTTAGCCTCGGTAACAGGCAAAAACAAGAAAAATAATCGAACGGGTCAGATCTAGGCTTCTTTAAAAAAATAACTGGGACTGCGTTTAGTCCGAGATCAGGGACCGGAACTAAGGATGTTTTTACTTGAATTGTTTTCAGTCCTAGACCAGACAAGACTTGGACAATTATAAAATACACAGAGATCACCGATTTACCAGATCAGACCAATTCAGAACAGGCGGTGGGAAACTTATCCATATTTTTTTTAATTTTTTTTATGGAGTTTTACTATTTTTTTATTAATTTAAAAAAAAAAATTAAAAAAAAAAATCTTATTTTTTATTTTATAAAAATTTTATTAATTTTTTTATTATTTTTCTACGAATTATTGAATTTTTTTCGAATTTATTATGAATTAAACATTTAATTATGACTTTTAGCTATCTTTTACTAATATTTAAAGGAGGGGTAAGAATGGAAGGAAGAAATGAGTATGTTTCCAATAGGACCACTATGGTCCTATTTTGAAAAAAAAAAACATAACAAGTCCTATTTTGAGTTTTTGCCATAGTTTTAGTCCTATTTGAAGTAATTTCTATTGCAGTTTCTAATTAGCTGTTTTTAAAAAAACAAATGTGGCACGTACCCCACTAAGTACGACTAATACAACCCACATAATATATTAAAATGTTTGTAAAATTACATTTCTACCCAAAATTTGTATACGAGTTGTAGAGATGGCAATTCTGACCGATCCGATGGATACCCGCACCGAACCGCCCCGGTCAAAACGGAGAAAACCGCATTGACCGGGTAACGGGTACGGGGCGAGGAATACCCGTTTTGTTTTTACGGGTAACGGGGTGGTTATGGTTTTATACATGCCTGTCCCATTACCCACCCCATTTATTTTTAATTATATTTTTAATACATTCTTATCTATTATTTGTCCCACGACTAATAAAAGATGATATTTTTCTATTTTCATTGTGTATATATGAATAATAGATT